ATTGGTGAGATAGATAGTTCAAAAATTTGTAAAAGTTACACCACTCGTGATTTAATAAATTATTATCAGTGACTTTGTGTTGTTACATAGCAAGGTTATGTCGTGTCCCCGATTGCAATATCACAACTTCAGTATCACATACATAGGCATACATGTAGCGACAGATTCAAAAAGTATACACAACGGATAAAGCCGCCAAAGGAACATAACCTTAAAAAAAACTTAACAAAACAGACTCTTAAATCGTTTTAGTCGTATTTTTGTGCATGTAGTTTCTCATGTGCAACTGCATTTCCAGAAAAGGACATTTATATATTTCCGGTTTATTTTGTTGGTTCGTTGTTTAGGGCAGTCCATTCTCATTGGTAAACATTTGCAATGTTATTCAAAATTGATGCTTAAATATTTTATTTTATTTAAAAATGAAGCATATCATCAAAGCAACAGTAAGTTTATTAAATGTTTCAATAAAACATAATTAAGACGGCTCTTTTTCAATTTGATAAACACTGTTATTTACAACATCATATGAACAATTCTGATATAAGAGAAGTGCAGCTGATGCCGATATAAATAAATAGAACCTGTCAAAAAATTGTATCGCCGAACCGTTCACGGATAACATCATAGTTAACAGTTCCAGTAACTATATCAAGCTCAAGCGTTACAGAATTATTCAATTCGGGACCTTAAAAAATAACGTATTGTACTATGTAAGCGATTTAAAATCTGCCGAGCAGTCACTTCCTGTTGGTAAGATTAAATTTTTTGACAATGTTTAATAACGAGTTAGGTGTACATTTACCTTGCATGAAATCATGTGCACTTCTTACTTCTTGATAATTTTCATACTGCAAATTGTCAATCTTCAAATAAGTGATAACCACAATTAGATAAGAAGTGTAACAGCTAATGACACAAATAGCTTACACTAATAACCGAATTCATGCTGAATCATAAATTCTTTTATTAGTGATGCTCAATGATCAGAAACACGGTATTGACAGTATTTGTCAGTAGCTTTATTACAAACTACACAATTATAAACACATTTAACCAAATAAACAATTACATGTAAGATAGTTATATATATTAGATAGTATATATCGTAAATAGATAATTGAATAAACGTAGTCAACTTTCATATTGGCAAACTATACAAAAAGATAACTAAATAACTAACAAGATGGCGCAATATTTACAATAAATAAAGCATCAGATTAAATGAATACTGGGAAATAGAGATTCTTAAACTTTGTGTGGTGGCTCCTGTGATACAGAAACCCACAATACCAAATGTTTCGGGTGCTAAATGAAAATATGACACACTATGACGCATATTTAAAGGAAACACAGCGAAATGTGCCAAATTTTCAAAGGCATTTAGCCCAAACCTAGCCATTTGAAATGTACCCAAATTTGTTTCACAGTCGATGGATTCTGATATACATGCATTCATCATCCCCTTCATTTTGTCTTAATCACTATATATACGTTTTAATGTATATAGACCATTAATTATCTTTTCAACTGGCAATTTTGCTCCGACATATCTTGTTTATTAGTACCGAACTCCAAGGTACATGTATATTCAAAAAGGCGAAGTCTAAAAAACTGATGAAATCAATGTACGTTATCAATCAACGAAACGTGTGACAAACACTGTCATAACCCTTGTTACAGGCGTTTTCCGTAGAAAAAGGGTGGGTAAAATCTGATTTTATAGCAAGCTAAATCTCTCACTTATATGACAGTTGTTTATAGTCCGTTATATTGACAAAATTGGGCAACCAAAGCAGACATTATAGGTAAATGTGAAAATTGTTGGGACCCAGAAGCCAAAATTATGTAAATTTACATCACAACTCACAAAACATTTAAACAAACATTCATAAGATGATGTAGTTGATAGTAAACTTGACAAAGACGCCAACAGAAAAAATTACACTCCACCAATACTTTACCAAGAGAAAAACAACTAACAACTCATGCCTTAATGTTTTTGAAATATTTCTAGAAGATGACGTAAATATGGCAACATACAACCTAAGCGTTGCCAATAAAACCTTACATGGTAAATTATATACTATGTTCGAACATAATCAAACATATTTCTATATTGCTCAAAGCTCGACCCTGACTTCATTACAGTTACAATTATCATAAAAAGCATTGTAAAAGAAAAGAAAATGGTAATCGACATGCATGATAAACAATTGATTTTATCTAAAAGTAAATCGTTTATCATCCAAATTGACAATCCATATGGCACTTTAAATTACATTTTAATTCGCATTTTTTATTAACTTTAAACATAATTCATATTGTTTATAATGCTTCGTTTAAATGCTGGTGGTGGACTATTACTCCCCTAGCCAACTTTCAGCACAGTAATGAGTCATAACATACATTTCATTTTTGAATTCGCATTTATTCACAAACAATGGTTTAAAATCTCTTCTTACTCTCGTATAAAAAAAATATATATATTTACCCTTTACTTAATTCTTTTTGGTTTAAGCCTTCTTAATGAATGTACACGCTGATCAAGAAACGAGATTCGAATGCAAATTGTGTAAATTGTTATTATCATTTTATAACAAATAGATTGAAGATATTTCTTTAACTTTTCCTTATCAAATATTTATCAAACTATTTCAGATATTTTACAAATTGTATTGATTTTGTTTTTTTCTAAATATCTTAACAAGATAAAGTTTGAACACATCGAATGTTAATTATTGTATTATTCTTAGGTTTACATTCCTTGAGTAAAAGGTGTATGTAGAGGGGTTAAGATGTTTTGGCCAGGTCCTTTCGAGTTTAGTTCATCTTAGCGCTTTATATGTCTAACTCATCAGGTTTGGCCATTGGGCATACTTGATTAGTCTATTGCATGTAACACTTTTCGAGCTCATACATATACATATGTATATCATATATTCCTAACATCGACCTTGTTGCGATCGGAGCAATTCTTTGTTGACAATCTATTTGTCTAGTAGATTGTGTTCTAGTTTTCGTATTTCTATTTTATTTACTTGGCATCATTCCGAGAGAACAAACTAGGGGAAAAATATTGAAACCATAAACTTTTGTATGCACTTTACAGTTGTTCGAATTCCATAATGCATTATGTCTTGATATATAAGAGATACAAATAATTATTGGCTTGAATAACAAGCTCAACATATATTTTTAATTGGATTTGCCTATTAATACACTTGCAGTGTTTTAATCCCTAACGTGCACATAAATTCAAAACAAAAGATCACGTGCACAAGAAACATTCAAAATGCGTCATTCGTGCATATCTTCAAAAGCAGTATTAAGTCCTTTTGATTTTGTAATGCATATTTTGTTGTCTTTCTGAGTCGCTATGGTTTCGCTATTTTTATTGAGCTTTTGAAACTCACCCTTTTTATCCAAAGTCTTCCTCCCGAATACTGTTTTTCTTGTTATCGCTTCTTCTCGTAAACCTAACACCAAAGAAACCGTAAAAATTATAAAAAAAATAATGTTTTGTCAATTTATAAGTATCGACTTGACGCAATGTTATCTCCCCTTAAATATTTGAAATAAGCTGTTTGGTAGGATCACTACGTAATCATATGTATTAGAGACTTAGAGTCTTTTGTTTTGAAAATCTTGATCTTTGACCTTGAAATTAAAGTCAAGGTCAAAAGTCAACTCGACCTTTGCTTTAACTTCTTACATGTACATGATAAAGACAAATACATAATATATATATAACACTAACTTTGTATAGTATTGGACGACAGAGGAGTCTAAAAGAAGTCAATCTGAAGTTATATTTAATTTGTTTACCGAAAGTGGCAATTTTTGCGCTTATTTCACGATAAAGTACCTATAAACCCTATTTTTAGGATCAGTATGACGCAACATATTTTCTAGACCGGAAGTAGTCAATTACCCCTTTTATTTCAAAGGAAAAACATAGAAACCATATATTTTTCGAATCGGTTAAAATATGCTACCAATTGACATTTTGAAACCGATGAGATGATTATTTCACTTATTTCATAGAAAAGTACAAACTAAATATTTTTCGAATCTGTGTAAGATAAGTTATCTCCTGAAATTGTTTTTTAAACGAATGGTATATATATATTAATTCTTTAAAATTAGTTTTTTGCATATCTATATAATAAAGAGGCGGAATATAACAAAAAGATAAACAAACTCATTAATCGAAAACGAATTGACAATGCCATGGTATAAAACGAAAAACGACCAAAGACAAACAATAGTCTACAATACACAATCTAGAAAACGAATTAAGACAAAGCAACACGATCAACATGTAAAGTGGATAGATTTGAATCGGTCTCTGAATAATTGGTCTTTAATTCTATTAAGAATTTGACATGGTTGAACATTTAAAACTTTTGGTAGGTAAAAATATAGGCAGTTATTTTTAGGATGCATAATTTATTTTTCCCTCTAGAATATATGTTTTCGACTTATCAAAGTGTTTATGCTAACCCTTTCGGAGAGAATAATAATATTAAGATACTTAAAATATATCATTCAATTTTATGACTTATTCAAAAGATACTAAGGGGACATTCAAAACTAAAATTCCCAATTAAAGCTGTAAACGACATAGCAAAATGAAAAAAACGACAAAAATAAGATTATCCCCGAATTTTGTCGCTCAGTTTTTCATTTGTTTTTTTGCGTATTTGTTATGTAGACTTATTGGTCTTTTTGTCGTTTTTTTCATTTTGTTCATTTTTCATCATTGGGAATTTTAGTTTTGAATGTCCCCTTAGTATCTTTTGAATAAGTCATAAAATTGAATGATATATTTTAAGTATCTTAATATTATTTGTGACTTACATGTAAATCACAAATACGACAACAAAAACCAACGAACTTTTCGTAACAATATAGTGATGTTTATTTAAAACTGAAGACTGATTTGACCCTTTTCTGTCGTGTTGTATTAGGGCCATAAACAAATATAAACACTCATGAACACTGTTATATATAATTTATTAGAAAACCCTAAAACCCGAGTAAGATGACCAAAATGGATACATGTGCTTTGCAGAATGACCATGCGCTGCCACATTGGCTACGTCGCCTTTCTTGAGTTTTACTACTACGGTTTTAGTTGCAGGTTGATACTCCTTGTCGTTGTAAGCGCTGGCACGATTTCCTGCAACAACTTTACCATTGACTACAAAATCACTCTCAAAACTGGTATTAGGTGACGTCAATGCAGTCCAAGTAAAACTATATACACCATCATCAGGACAAGTAAACAATCCGTTTGATGGGTTGTAAGCCTTTCCCATGTTCAGAACGACTTGGTCGAACATTACAACCGCTCTTGGTTTCAAATTTTTTATGTCTGATCCGAGGTTAACATGAAATGCAACATTCTTTTTGTGATCAGTACCACTGCATTTACATTTGTGTTCTGCAATAGAAACAAGAATAAATATACTTTTTGCATTTTATTGTACTCTAACACAATTTTCATACAGTCAAATTGAAAGCAATTCTGTCTTGTCATATAAAATATCAACAATAAAACATGGTTGTGTCCCTTGAAAAATAAAGAACTGCGCAAAGAGCGCATGAGACGCCCGTCGCTTTTTCAAATAATAAAGTTTCATAAATCCTCAATGTCATATCAGAAAAGTAACGGGAGGTTATTTTAATAGATATAAACCAGTCACCATAGTTTCATGAAAACTTCTCAAAGCACTTTTGAGTTATTGTCCGAAAACTTGAAAATCCCCCTTTTTAATGAATAAAATCCCATAACTCGGAAACGTAAATTTTAAAATTTAAAAAAATCGAAAGGGAACTCACGTCAATAGATATAAACAATTCACTAAAGTTTCATGCAAATTGGTTAAAGCGTTTTTGAGTTTATTGTCCGACATGTTGACTGACGACGGACGGACAGACGGACGGACAACAGTATACCATAAAACGTCCCGTAAACGGGCGTATAAAAAGAAAGATAATTAATGCAATATAAGTTTTTAAAAATTGTATATCAACAGTTAGTTAAGTGATAGTCCTCTGTTCTTACCTCCTCTGCAAGGGAATTATAATAAAGTTGCCACTTTTTCAAACGATTTGATGTTTAGGATTTACCTCAAATTTCTGACAATTTTATATTAGAATCTTGTGTTTAGATTATGGTGACTTTGAGAGAAAGGTGAAAATATAATTTTCTTTTTCAATTATATTTACTATAAAAGAAGACATGATATTCATTTTCCACCGTTAAATAACTCAACAAAGCACTTCTGTTTCTTATATTTCCATATCTCCCCATTGAAAATGTGAATAGACGGCTAATTCTTAAATCAAATTTCTACCAAACTCCTGTCAAACTCTTCTGATATAGTCTTGTATGTCTAATTTTTGATATTATTAAGGTTTTAAGTTCAGAGTACGGTATCCGTATCATTCCAGAATTCGAAAGGGTTTATAACGAATAGCTAATTGATAGCTGAAGTGCCATTACACATTGCGAAATGGCCAACCAAACAAACGCATTTGTTGTATATCACTTGTTCATATCACAATGCAAGATGTATATCTTTACGCAGGAAATAGATAACCGGCCATAATCGTAAGAGAAATGTATTAACCAATTAATGTAATTAGATCACTAGGCGACTATGATCATATCATTTTATGTGCAAGTAATTACACATCTGCAACAGAATTTATTCACAATGATAGACATGGCAAATATTATAGCAATATTCATGAAATACATTTTCTTTGAATAGAAAAGGAAAGTAGTTGTCCTAACATTAATTTACTGAAACCTCACCATTTGCTCTCTGTTTTATTTCTTCAAAACGTTGTTTTATAATTTCAAGAAGCTCTTTCATGCTCAATTTATCGCATTTCTTTTCCAAAGCTCTGGCAGACAATACAAACATCGCAATCAGAAGTAACGCTGTTGCTCTCATCCTAAATAATAAAAAAAGTTATGGGTTTAGTAATAAATTGAGTAAGATATCAAGGAGTCATTTGTAGATTCTTGATACTTATGACTTATAATTCTTTAGTTCCATCGTATGGTGGAAAAGGTAAAAATTCTATCGACGATATCTGGTGTTATCTTTCATGACGTTAGTCAAATCATTTTGATCAAAGGAAAAGCAAAATCTGGCAGAATGATCAAACAATTTTCCCATCTTTTTAAAAATTTAGCTGTTACAATTTCCATAATTGGATTAAAGAATTGATGGGGTTCGTGTTGCTCAGTTTTTAGGTTTCTATGTTGTGCATGTTGTGTTTTGTATACTGTTGTGTGTCTTTTGGCATTTTTTTTGCCATAGCGTTGTCAGTTTTTTTTTTCGACTTCCATGTGTATCAGATTTAATGTCACTTTGGTATCTTTCACCTCTCTTTAACCACGTTCTTCACGTTTTTTTGGAGGTAACATTGCACTTTAAATCTCTTTAATTATATGACTTCAATATATATACATATTTGATACATTCTCATTGTAACATTTAAAAAGCCAATTAGAGTTTTCAAATCCACGAAAAATTTATTTAAAACTGTCATAACATTAACGAGAAACACAGTGACTAGATAGCTTGGTTTGTTTTGTCTGAAGCAGGAAAGCGTATTTCAAGAAGGTCGCCGTGGTATTCCTGTGTCAAAATCAATCTAAATACATAATACAAATGTTTATTTCAATTGCTATAGTAACAAGGGTTATGTCTGAAATCAAAATTACATGAGTGAAATAAAAGATACTGTACTGATCATGCTGATAATAAATCATATTGATAGTAATATACATTAGTTTACTAACCTGTTTTATTTCCGGGACTGTTTAAGTGTAGAGAGTGATGGAGCCTCAGTGTATATGGCTTTGTACAAATACTATACAAAATTATAAACAGCATGAAATAGTATAACTTTTGTCACATATCATACCTGTCACGGAATATAATATTTCAGGAAATGTATCCTTCTCGTATAACATTTTTAAATATTATATACAAATTAGAAGATGTGGTATGACTGCCAATGAAACAATTATCCATCCAAGTCACAATGTGTAAAAAGTAAAAAATTATAGGTCAAAGTACGGCCTTCAACACGGAGCCTTGGCTCACACCGAACATCAAGCTATAAAGGGTCCCAAAAAGACTAGTGTAAAACAATTCAAACAGGAAAACCAACGGTCTAATCTATATAAATAACGAGAAACACTTATGAACCACACCAACAAACGACAATCACTGAACAACAGTCTCCTGACTTAGGACAGGTGCATAAAAATGCAGCGGGTTTACACGTTTAAACAGGCGCCAACCTTCACCCTAACCTTAAACAGTGGTATAACACTACAACATAAAAAAACACACAATAAGATATCAATTGAAATGGCTTAACTCGATCAAAAAGACAGTACACAAAAACAAGTAAATATACCCTGAACGAATAAGTTTGATCCATAACACAATATAAATAAAAAAAGATGTTTCAATGTCAAAAAGAAAACTAGGACAGAATGGCATTAAAAAAAGTAACGTACACAGGTAAATTTAAACATAATAATGTTGTTGTTAGGAGTACAGAAATATTTTTTTCAAATTTGTTGTTCATAGTACGAGTACAGAAGTGAAATTTTTTTTCGTCATACTAAATAATTATCAAAGGTCGTTCATATAAAAAAATAGTAAGACGAGACATAATATAAGATAAGTAAACACCGCATAACAGAAATGAATCACAAACTGTGTCAACAGGTCAAATTAACACGAAAGTACGATTTGAAAGTACTCGCAGTTACTGAAAGCTAGTTAAAAGCCAAAAACAATTAATAAAGAAAAATCATGCATTATGCGTTCTTTTTTCAAAATAACATGGAGTGGTATGTTAAAATAAGGGTTAGTCATAAAAAACCGTTGTATCTCGGCAACTTTCGTTTTGCCATATGGTCTCTGAGTAACATATACTTAGAAAATTTAAAAAATGAGAAATTAAACAAACTCCTTTCAGGGACAATATTTTGATTTTGAGGGAGTACCTGCAAATTCTGTCTAGCCATAAAATTTTATTGTTTTGCCGGACATATTAACATTAATGTGTTGCTTATTTAATTGGAAGTAGTCATTGTTAAGACCAGTCAGGATATTTATTGTACATTTTTTTTGTCAGATTATTGATGATCACCCTATTAGTTATCAAGTCTTGCATTCAAAATATGCAAAATATTGTTAAAAATTTTACCAATGGACCTAGTAATCATTGAAATACCTCGGTCATTAGATGGCTGAACCACTCTCTAGGATCTTCAGATTCAGAAATTGGTGAAATATGACCATATTTTCGGATAAACTCCTTTCTTGGCACAAAAATCTAACAATTTGTATAAGCAATATATCATATAGATATAAGATTGACTAATTTTTAACATTTCATTAGAAAACATACCAGCTATCTAAATCACAGAGGTATTACAAGGATTACTAGTTCCGTGGGTAAACATTCTAACGATATTTTTAATATTTTGAATGCGAGACTTGATAAATGTTTGTATAACAACAATTTAGTTCATAATTCTTAGATTGACTTTACTAAAAATACAAGAACCTGGGATTTCTTGTTTATACTGAAAACACTGGTAGACAAATAGTGCCACGTTGAAGAGGGTTGACTCTATATTTGTTTTGTAGGCTTCATTTTGACAGTGTCATTAATGTAGATCTTAAACTGAAAATTAATAATATGAAAGTTGGTACTCTATTTTATAATATTCATATCAGATATATGTAAAAATTAAAGCATGTATTCAAGTTGGAGTTTCCCTCACTGGTTCATTTAACAGTAAAATATGTGTAAGACCAGGAGACAATCTGAGACCCTTTTTGTTTTTTAAATATTTATGAGTGACTTTCTATCTTATCTTGACTCCTGCTTTGATGCAGTTTCCATTCACTTAAAGAAATCAAAATGTTTGATGTATGAAGATAAAATAGTGATTATATCAATATTGCCAAAGGTTTTCATAGAAAATTATTGTGATGACTGGTGCCTGAAAGCTGATTTATTAGAAGAAACATTAATTATTATATTTAATACAGCTGGTAGAATAATTAGGCTTATTTTCGGATGCAGAATACCTCAATCGAATGTGTTTCTAAGTATAAAACTTAAGGAGTTTTATTTCCTGCATTAGGTATTGTTTTCGTCTAAATTATATAATGACTCTATGAAGGTCTGATATAAATTTAGAATAAAATATATATTTAATAAAGCTGGTAGAAATTTCAGTCTAATTATCGGCTGCAGATTTCCTCGATTGAATGTGTCTCTAAATAAAAATATTTAGGAAAAAGTGAAATAACAAAAATACCGAACTCCAAGGGAAATTCAAAACGGAAAGTACTTTATAAGATGGCAAAACTAAAAACACAAACACTTCTTACGAAGGGAAAAACAATTGTCATATTCCTGCCTTGGTACAGGAATTTCCTTATGTAGAAATGGTGGATTAATACTGGTTTTATAGTTAGCTAAACCTCTCTTTTGAATAAGTTTCATTTCCTGCATCAAGTAAAATATTCATCTAGCTGAACTATATAATAAAGGTTATGAAGGTCTGTCATGAATTTAGAAAGGATTTAATATACATGTAATCAGGAAATAAAGCATGTTATTTGTTCATATTTTTGTTATCATACACTGAAACCAATCTTTATATATAAATGCATAGCCTGAGAAGGTTATTATTTTTTTAACTACATCTTGGTTCTCATTTGATTCAAGTTATTAGAAGATTTTGATATAAAAGACGAATTAAAATATTTCAGACAGTATAATGTTTTTAATATATTTAGTAAATTGATACATGAATAATACACAAAGTATCCTTCAATAGCAGACTGATGGAGGAACAACAGTTATATAGGCCATATGTGACTAAAGGCTGATTAAGAAGCTTACGACGGACCAGAATATCCCACAATGCGTAAAAAAAATAGACAAAAGGCATACAAGTTGTAACGCTCTGACGGCGAAGATTTATATAATTGTTTTAATTATTTAAAGTACTTGATGATAATCATAAATGTTTTAATTTATTTTAAAATAGAAGATCTAAGATCTACAACATCAGTTGTTATAAAATTTTTTGCAGTTAAAATGTTATATAAAGTCGTATGAACCTGCAAATTTAATAAAAAAAAATATTAAGTTGTGCTTTATATACCTCAATCAAGTTAATGGCTAAGTTTTACAATAAAAACGTGAACATAGAATCTCTTTAAAAGAAAATTCTTTTATTTATTTAAGTCCTCATAAATGTTCGCTATTGAATTAATGTCTTCCCGTAATATAAATATCCACTCGAACAATAGAATTAACAAGTGGGTAACCCCTCAGTTGAAATTCTATTCTGTAGAAATTTCAATGAGCGTACCTAGTGGTTAAATTGGAGATGATAAAAATAAATGCAAAAACTTCTGGAATTTTTAATCGAAATATTTAGATGTCGTCAATGGACCAGTATTTTGTTTACTTTGTCATGTTTTCTATATCAGTGAAAGATATTTTTAAGAAAACTTGGTACGCCTTACTGGCTGATCATTGCATTTTTGGCACATTCACAGTAAGGATGTATCCCCTAAGTGTTTTAAAAATCCAATATATCAATCCAAGCAACCTTTGTATTGCATCATATCCTGCTATGTATCAAACTATTTTAGCTGTGTTTATTATTATGTTCTTTAATAGATGGTTGCCTGTTAAACCGTTGTATAAAATGTGTATAACTTTTATATTCATGTGCAAATAAAAAAAAATCCTTATGAAAAAAGGAATAATTTTTGGTAGACTATACTGAGCAGGAAGTTCAACCCATCTATGTAAAGGCGAGTATACAACAAATGTTGTCAGCTGTGACAAAACAAAATCAATTTCAGATGCATGTGTACCATCTATAGTCATTTGACTTTGTTCCACCATTTAGGAATAAAAGGTAATCTTTGTTCTCAAATTAACAATATGATTTACAACTGATTCAAAAAAAAATATTGATCTTCAGAGCCTGCATTGAACCGAAAAGCAAATGGCATTTCCCCTTTTATGTCTAGAATCCTTTGGTGCACCTTTTTCTCTCTGACATAATATATCATATAATGGTATACACGCAGCCTCTTATTTTAATAATAATAGGGATGCACAGATTTTCATTTGCCAAGGTAAATCAGTTGGTTTGAAGTAATGTAATTCCATATATGCTTTTGTTTCTTGTATTTCATCACTGGTGTTCTGTGTTTTTACGCTTAGCATTATAACATAATACATTCGTTGTTCTATCCACTTTCATGTAAGTTTTTTTTTTATTAATTTTCAAGATTTGATCTAAAGAGTCATTTGTCATACTTCGAAGCAGATTTTGTAGAAACCTTCCAGAATTGTCAAACCCTTTTAGCTTTTGATTTTTGAGTCTTTATAAACAATATAATTCATCGATGTTATGATTAGTAGAGTCAAACTTGTTCAACTTCTTTGCACATTTTGCAATTGTTACATCATTCACAAAATCAAATATAAACAATGCATGTCTTACTAAATTCTAAGTTCTGTCGTAAATTAATCTTAGGTGTTCGTTGTTATTCTATGGTTTACATGTTGAAATGTACTACAATGTATTATATTATTTATTTATGTATTCTCTGTCCTGAATGTTCTTGCATTTATTTGTACTGTATTCCTGTCACGTAATATGTCATTTTAGCGGTATTTCTAACATTGCCATATAAGCGGGAGGTTTGGCTAGCCATAAAACCAGGTTCAACCCACCATTTTTTCTTAAAAGTCCTGTATCAAGTCAGGAATATGGCATTTGTTATCACATAATCCATTTCTA